CAGGTAGCTCACCTGTCTATATTCCTTGGGTACCTCACCTGTTTATATTCCTAAGGTACCTCACCTGTTTATATTCCTAAGGTACCTCACCTGTTTATATTCTTCAGGTAGCTCACCTGTATATTTGTAAGGTACCTCACCTGTCTATATTCCTCAGGTACCTCACCTGTTTATATTCTTCAGGTAGCTCACCTGTTTTTATTCATAAGGTACCTCACCTGTTTATATTCTTCAGAAAGTTTCAATTTACAAAGTTTGTAATTAGAGAGACTTCAGTTATTTATATTACCAAAAAAATCTAAATACAAAATGGTTTAGTTTTTTTCTCTGAATTGTATCATAGTTTTGAATGGATTGTATTCATGTTATTGTAGTATAGTTTTGGAACTGGTTTATAATTATTTCAGTGTCATGATGTTGCATATTACTTTATCTTTTGAGTGATCTACAAAAAATTATCATGTGGTTTTAAAATTTGTTTTTATTTGATATGGTTTGAATAGAAAACATTTTTGTCTGAAATATGGAAATTAATGTATAACTGACTAGTATATAATTACTTACAATTTAATATGGCTTTTATTCCAGAAAACAATTCCTCATTCTTACATGAATATCGATTGTTATATAGGAAAATTGAACGAATTGTGCAAGAAATTTAAAGGTGAGTTTTTGAAACAAGGATAATTTTGAGAATCATGTTAAGGTGTATCAGTTACTAATCAGTGAAAGAGTTAGTTTACGGTTGATCCTTTCATTCTGGGTATAAACGAGTGATGGATTTGGATGCCCATTTTATACAGAACAGCTTTCTTGGCCTGATTATTAAACTTACGGAAAGAAAGATATAGTTTATGTTTTGAGATGCGTTAAAAACAAAAGTCATTATTTATCTTGTATTTAAAGTAATACTTCTTCACCTTAAACCAATGCACTACTTTACTAGGTAAAAGTACTGAATGTCAACATAGCAACTTGTGAAGTTACCAAAATGGTCAGTTTACTTTAAATTCTAATGGATGTCACTCCTTAAACTATGGAAATGTTATTGATAAGAAAAGTACAATAACTTGTAAAAAATAATAAATGGAGTCAGGCTAGTCATCTAGTGATTAACCTCTGCATTAAAAAGACAACTTGAAGATAGTAGGCTCGAAAGGAATGTTTAAATGAAGGTAGTTAAGTGTTGATACATAAACGAGAGTTTCTTTAGCTTTACTGATTTTTTTTTCAACCATTGAACTGACCCTGTATTGGAGAAGGAATATTGATTATAATTCCTAATTTACTTCATGTATCTATAAGAAATGTGGCAAGCTTTTAGTAAAATATATAAGTGTGTTGTACCCAAAACAATCAGATGTGTTACAATCAAGATATCTTTGTGAATTAAAACATCAGTCTGACAAGTTAAAACGCGCGGCGATGTTGATGTGAAGAATAAGAATAATTTTGTCCATTGTATAGTTTACAGGTTGCCTTTGAATAACCTCTAAAACTGCCCTGTATAATGTATCTGGTGAGTGACATGTGCCATGAGTTTATGTTGATATATTTTTAATAAGAAGTTCATTTTGTAAATTTATTTATCTATACCAGTTTTTCTATCATCTTCTCGATGTGAGGTTGTAGCTCTCTGTTCCGTTGAGAGGTAAGTATTATGCCTAAAGAGATAACATTTTCCCTGCCTGTCTCTCCACAAACCACCCACCTTCACACTTCCAGTGTATGTTTTTTATCTTGTCAGAATGAGGTTATAAAGTGCTCAAGGGGAGAACTGTTCATGGAGGATTTGTCACCCTCCTATTGATGGAGGGGTAGGCTAATAATGATTGTATCATAGACATTTTTACATGAGGGGTGGGAGTTTCATTTAAAGGCTTGGCACATGTGAAAAATGTTTTGGCAGAAGTACAGAGTATTAGCTATCTGTTCTTTGGAGGGGTGAGTATCGAGCTGAAATACATTTTCAGCTAAGGAAAATTGTATCATTTCAGTATCACTATTGGTGGATATAGTATATTTCTAAAGTATCAGATATAACTAGTTTCTGTAGTTTTTTTTAAACATGTTTTAGGCTAATTTTCCACCGATTGGAAAAGACAGAATGGGTATTGATTTTTGTATTATTGAATATAAACACGTTTTAGTTTCATTCTTGGTGGATATTGTATATCTAAAATATCAGATATAGCTAGTTTCTGTAGTTCTGTTTGAGCTTCTTGTTTTAGGCTAATTTTCATTGAATGAAAAGTTGCCTTTCAAGGACAGTACTGATATTAATATAGTAATGTTTTCGTTTTATTATTTGTGGATATATTGTATTTCTAAAATATCAGGTATAAATATTTTCTGTAGTTTTGTTTGAATTTGTTTTAAACTAATTTCCACTGAGTGGAAAAATTGTCTTTCAAGGGCAGAACTAGTATTAACATTTTAACTAGTGTTAACATTTTAACTAGTATTAACATTTTAACTAGTGTTAACATTTTAACTAATATTAACATTTTAACTAGTATTAATATTTTAACTAGTGTTAGCATTTTAACTAGTGTTAACATTTTAACTAGTGTTAATATTTTAACTAGTATTAACATTTTAACTAGTGTTAATATTTTAACTAGTATTAACATTTTAACTAGTTAACATTTTAACTAGTGTTAACATTTTAACTAGTATTAACATTTAAACTAGTATTAACATTTAAACTAGTGTTAACATTTTAACTAGTATTAACATTTAAACTAGTGTTAACATTTTAACTAGAATTAACATTTTTTGATAGCAGATTCATTTGAACAGGAGTCATATTTACATAATGAATAACTCGTGTATCTAATGGTGGAACTTTTTATTATTAAAATATTAATATCTAAAATAAGGTCTATGTGTGACGCAGTCAATGGTGGACTAACGCATCTAACTGGTTTTGGGCTGGTTAGTCGTGGCTTAAGAATATTCTTGAAAATGGCTATGTATAAGAAAGAAATAGCCTTATAACTTATAAGTTAATAGATGAATAATTCAAAGCAACAGTAAGAATTATGACATAAATTATATGTTACTGAACTATAAATATTTGTTCCAGATGAAGGTGTCGAGGTGACTGTTAATGAATGTATCATTAAGGCTGTTGCTGCTACTATACAGGTAAAGAAATGTCTGCTTTGTTTTCACTTTACACATTAGGTTACTTTAAATCTGTAAAGACTTGTATATTCTACGAAGAAACGTGACTGGATGAAGGAAGATTCTAGAAACTAAATATAGTTAAGTAAGGTATAAAGTTATGATGTCCACTGTAATTTTTACAAATTTGAAAAATATGCCACTTTACACATGTGACTGATTGATAATAAAATGTTTTATACTTCTTTTTAAATTGATTCTAATTTTACCATCTGATTGAATTTATCTTTAATGTAACAAAAGGAAATAATAATTTGAGTATGATTAAGTTTAGTTTAGGAGTTGTGTGTTATTTCTAGATTTTTACAGACTTTAACATACAACCTCATGTGTTTGTCCTTTTTTTTAACTTTGTTCTTTTGTTTGATTTCAGTCTGGAAGTTTCACATCAAATAAAATTACATCTTTGTAAGATAGCACATTGCAATGTAAACATCTTAGACCACATATAATCATACTTAAGTATAAGCACAAGTTAAAAGTAAATACTTTATTTTGGTCAGTACCTAAAAGTACCTTATTACCAGACTTGTGTCATTGGTTTTTGTATAAGTTTTTTAAAAAATGCTATTTATTTGAAAAACCTGATTGTTGCTACTCTGCTAAAGACTAAAATGTGGTTGGTGTCCATAATTTATTTGTACACAAAGAATGTTTTAAAGAAATAGAAATATCTGAGGTACTGCACTTAAAAACTTTTCACAATGTTCACTAATACGTGCAACTCCCCCTTCACATGCCCACCACATTAGTGGCCATCAGCTGGTTTTTCTTGGATGAATAGATAGACACTGTTTACATTGTGAATCAATTTGCAACTCTTAATGTTATAATATTCTTTGTGTAGTCTGTTCCAGAAGTCAATGTAACCTGGACTGGAGAAAGTGTACAGGTGCTGCCATCTATAAACATTTCCTTCAATGTGTCCACAGCATTTGGAATGGTCACCCCAACTCTGAGGAATGTCAGCAGTATGGGTATTGAAGATATAGTAGATAGTGTAAAGGTAACCATTAGAATATGAGTTTACAGTATAATATAAATCTAATGTGTTGCATTTTTAGGGCACTGTTTTGGTTGATTTCTGTTTCGTCAGAGATTATATAAATTTCATTAGTTCATGATCTAAATAATATGTCATAGAGATTTTATGTGACAGTATCAGATGACTGATTTTTTTTTAACAGCCAGTTTGTGAGTAAAGGTACTCATGGTTTTATAACCTCTAAAAAGTGATTAGTTGTGCTTTGCATATTTTTTTAATCCAGTAAGAATAAATCTATGTTTCCTTATCGTGTTTCAGCTTTTACATTAAATGTCAGTGGTATTGTTGTAAAGCTACTGGACTGCTAAAATTTCTTGTGCAAGCACACACACACAAAAAAAAATATTTTGATCATTAGCCTTTTTTTTTGGCTTATATGTGTATGTATTTTGGTTAAAAGTGTATTTGGGGCTTAAGGAATGGATAAAAGGCATGTACAAAAAAATATAAGCAGTATGGAAATCCCAG